CCCTAACCTTAATTTTATTTTCCAAGGAAAAAAAAAAACCACGCGCTCTTATCTATTTTTATACATTTAAATACACTGTGTGCAGTAGCTTTTCATTATTAAATGTTATGTTATCTTGTAAACAGTAATAAACTACATACTTATTTACGGCCAGTCAAAAGTAGGTCTGATATGTACGAATATAAAGCCAGGTAATAAGCTGTGAGATAAGATTTATTCGATTTTTTAACAATTCTCTGTGTTATGCACATGTTGTTTGGAATTTGTGAGTGTGTGAGTCTTTTTTTAAGAATTTGGTTTGAAAATTTTTGGAAAACAAGATTTCGATTTATTTGACAATGCAAAAAAATAAATAAATAAAAAAGCCGTAAGTTCGGCCGGGCCGAACTTTGAATACCCTCCACCATTTGGAACCAATTAGAAAATATTCAAAAAAATAAATTCCATTGAAAATTCTGTTAAAATCTTTAAAATACCTAATATCGGAAGGTGTCGATATATGGGGGGATATATGCTATTGTGGACCTATATAGACAAATTTATGTCTGGGCGTAAAGTACTCACAATGAACTCCTTGTGTGGATTTTCAGATAATTCCATTGGAAAATGTGGCTAAAATCATCAAAATCCCGAATATTGGGGGTACTGTTATATGGGGGATATACGATATTGTGGACCTATATAGATAAATATCTGCCGAGGTATAAAGTACCCACAAGGAATTACTTGTGTGGATTTTCAGACAATTACATTGAAAAATGTGGCTAACATCATCAAAATACCGAATATCGGGGGTACCGTTATATGGGGGCTATACGATATCGTTGACCGATATACCCCATCTTCGAACTTGACCTGCCTGCAGTCAAAAGAGAGATCTGTGCAAAATTTTAGCTTCCTATCTTAATTCGTTTAGACCGTAGCATGATTACAACAGACGGACGGACAGGGCTAAATCGTCTTAGAATTTTACGCTGATCAAGAATATATATACTTTGTTGGGTCTAAAATGATTATTTCGATGAGTTATCAAAACCTTCTCAATTTTTCATACTCATTTTCCCCAAATATCCTCATATGGTATTATTGCATTTACAAGGTAGGTAACATAAACAAATTTGACAGATTTTGACATGGGTATTTAGTGCAGTTGGGCTACAAATCGCCGCAAAGCCACAACTGGAAATGCAAATCAAGTTTGTCATATTAGCGTTGTAATGAACACAAGGCTTCCATACAAATATTGGCTCGAACATGTGATCGCTAATGCTTACATTATTTTTATGATTTATTTTGCGTAGGCCATTGAAAATTCATTGGGGTTAAGAAAATCATAAATTTCGTGTGTGTGTGTGTGTGTGTGTGGCAACTGAATAAATTAAATTTTAGAGAAGAAAAAGAAGATTTTTTTATTTTTATATCGAAACATAAAAATGGAATGTTTCTACACGAACTAAATGCCTTATTATTGTGACTTCTATATCCTAAAAATATTAAATTGAAATTCAAATATTTTACGTTGGCACCTTTTCATTCAGGAAATAAATTAATTAATTATTTATTTTATTTTAATTATATTGATCATAATATTAATAAATTTTAGATGATATTTTAATAATATTAACAAATTGAAATTCAAATATTATACCATGCAACCTGTTCAAATCACAACAAAGTTGCGTCCAATTTGCATCTCCTCTTCCAATCTATGCTCCATGATTTTTTTCCACATAAAATTAAGACATTTTTCGCACCATTAAAACTTGAGTCAATTAAGAAGTGGAAAAATGAAATTTATGAAAGCTTTGTTTTCGGAGTTGAACTGCTGCTGGTACCGCTGTTTCACTTACAAAATCATGGATTTTCCATAATACATTTTGATATGATGAAATACACACACATACTGACACACACAATTCATGCTACATTTAAACAAATTAATCTCTGGAATACACTCGAAGTTAAATGTCAGTTGAAAAAGAGCCAAAAAGACCGGTTTGGTAACTGGCTTAAGGATTACTGGTGGTATTAAGTGGTACTAAATTTGGTATTTGGTGAGGATATAGGACTGGAATCCTCAAATTTCATATTGAGGGCTCTGAAATTGATATATGGAAGTTGTTTTGGAAATGTGTGCTATAATTGTACGAAAAAGTACTGAATTGTATTATGTTTGGTATTGGGTCAGGGGATAGAGATACAAATTTGAAATTTACAATTTAGATTACTGAGATTTGATTATTGCGAAAAGTACTAAATGGTACTAAATTTATTATTTAGGCCTCTGTTGGTATATGAAATTGAGATATGGAGGTGGTTTTGAAAATGCGTACTATAATTGTACTAAATGGTACCCAATTTGGCAATGGGGGAAATTAAAGAGTAGAAATCCTGAAAATTGATATTAAGCTCAATGTTTGACGATGTCTGTGGTTAAGATATGGGGGTGGTTTTAGATATTCGTACTATAATTGTACTAAATAGTACTAAATTTGGCCATTGGGAAAGTTATAGACTTGAAATTCCGAAATTTAATAATAAGGTCATTGTTGGCATCTCTAATTGAAATGTGGAAATGGTTTTGGAAATGTGTACTATAATTGTGTAGAAAGTACTAAATTTTGTAAATAGTACTAAAGTACTAAATAGTACTAATTGGGTGAAGGATTAGAGCTGAAATTCTGAAATTTGATATGGATGTTGCTGTTGTTGTCTGCAGTTGAGAGAAGCAGGTGGTTTTGAAAATTCGTACTATGAACGTACGAAAAGTGTCAAAATGTCACAAAATGTGCTGTTGGGTGATGGAATTCTGGAATTTGGTATCGAGGTCACTTTAGCTGTCTTGGATGGAGAGAAGGATGTGGCATTAGTAGTATAACTGTACCAAAAGTATGGTAATAATTTCGGAATTGGGTCCTAGGGTACAGCTGGAATTCTGAAATTTGATATGGAGGCCTCTGTTGGTATATTGTTTTGAGAGAAGGAGATGGATTTATGGATGCGAACTATAATGGTTCGAAAAGTAAAAAATAGATAAAGGTTGAATTCAGAAATTTGACATTGAGGTCTCTGTTGATTTCTAGGATTTACATATGGTGGTGGCCAATTTTTATACCCTTAGCCATATGGCTAGAGGAGATATACAGGGTGAGATAAAAAACTGCAACAAAGTCAAACGCCATATTTTTTTAATGTTTTTTTTTTTAATTTTATTGAATGAAAGCAAAAACTGTCGGAAATACCATCAAATTTAAGGATAGGTTTAGATTTGTTCGAATTGGTCACCTTTGGCACGAATTATGGCCTTCAAACGGCCGATAAAACCGTCACACACTGCCCGAATGATGCTCTGCGGTATTCTGGCCCATTCACGGCGAAGCGCTTGCTTGAGGTGATCGACACTTTGGTATTTTTTAGTGCCAACCTTGCTTTCCAGAATACTCCGGACACAATAGTCCAACGGATTGGTATCCAGAGATTTTGGTGGCCATTGTGCGCTGGAAATGAAGAGAGGAACCTCATTTTGTAACTATTCTTGAGTGGCGCGTGCTGAGTGCGATGGTGCTGCGATCAAAATGTTTGCGTGACTAAGGCTTTAATACGCCCTCCAGAATATTTTCGCGATAATATTCGGCATTTATTCTGATGCCATGGTCGATTAATACAAGCGGAGAACGACCATCGGCTGTTATGGCGGCCCACACCATCACCATGGCCAGCGCTTGAGTTCTGGTGCCCAACCGAAGGTGCACATTTTCAGTTTCAGGTTTCGATCAAGTCGCTTCTTTACTTTTCGAGCCATTTCTGCTGATGTTGCTGTTTCCTTCCGTCCACACCCTTGACGTCGGGCTACGTTACCAGTATCACGGCAATGAGCGATGGTACGAGACACAAACGTTTTTTTATCTCACCTGTATGTACTTCACAAAACAACTCTCATGTGGCTCCCAAATTTAGACTTACAAATCGGATTACTTATTACTTATTGTAATCAGGGCATGTTGCTCGAAAAAGTAGTTTTTTGGCTACAAGTGAATAGATTTGTAATAATAATAATCATACCTATCCGGTATGATTTGGAAATGATTAATTTCCCCTAACAAAAATGTATTCATTGAACACCAGTTTTTCTTCGAGTGTATCAATAAATTATCAGTTTCTTTCTTCCGTGGCGATTTTGGTATGGGTCAAATGTTACTGGAACATGAACGTATTATTGCATTAATGCAAAATATATGTGTGGATGTGGATAACAGTTCCGCATTACTTTTCTTCGTTGTTGTTTTTGTTGCTGCTTATGTTTTCATTGCGTTTTCTTCATTGGAACATCACGAAGCAAAGTGCAAATGAAATAAAAATTGGGTTTCCTTATGTATCTGCAGCGACGCATTTTTACCAGCGACTGACTGACTGGCTACTCAATATTCAATTCATCATTTGCTACATATGGATGTACATACATATATATGAATTTTTAAATGTAGGATTGTCGTTTAAGATTTAAATTTCGTAACAAAAAATATTTTTAAAATTCCGCTTGAGAAGTTTTTCAATTCAATTTTTTAAAGTGAGAAATTGATTAAATTTCAAATATCTAATTTAATATCTGACAAAATTTTAACCAAGGTTTTATGTCGAGAATTTTACATTATTTTGAAATAATAAAAAATCCGACCAATTTTTCTCCAACGGCTTCCCTATTCCATGTGGTAGCATAACCCAGCAATTAAAAACTAGTGCGTGGCATATATTGCACGCTTCTTAAATGCGCTGCATTTCACACGCATTGCTCTGCTCAGCGATTCGATTGACGAAAAAAGCGTGTTAACATTGACAGCGGCATAACAACAACACCCACTTGCACGCCATATGCGTAGTGGAGGAGGGGAGGTGGGTTCCAACATAGCAACGTTATGTGTTAACATGTTTTCACTCTATGCCTCGGAACTGAACTGAAGTCTGAAGTTTTTTTTTTCATTTTTTTTTGCGGTGAAACTTACCTTCCAGTTAGTTTTGCTGCTTGATGAGGACGAATGTTTTCCGCAAATATTACCATTAGCGGTGCTACTGTTGTTGTTATTTATGGTTTTTGGTGATTTGTCGGAACCGGAAGTTTTTCCATCACTTTGTGACTTTTTATTCTGCAACAAAAAAAGAAGTGGCATAAATAAATGAGACAATTTTTTCACGTTAATTCGATTTATTTATTAAGTTGTAAAGATATAGGAAATACAAAAAAAAAATAAATAAATAAAATAATGAGTTTCCGACAGGTAGCTAAAAGTAGGTAGATCAATATCATCACCTATAAACTTAATCTACATTTGATAGGAACAAAAATGTGTATGACTTAAACTCTGACTATAATTTGTACTATGGTAATATTGTAATAACTTTTCAGCTGTACTAGCTTCGTAAAGATCCTTAAATTTTTTGAAATTCGAGTCCAAAAAAATCCACCATGTGACCACATGTTGGATAGGTATTTTAGCTTTCAAATGATAGAAATATTGTCCATATTGGTTTGGCCCGGACTTTCAGATCGAATATCCGGGTCCGCCCCCAAAAAAAAAAATTTTCCCGAAACTAGCATACAAATACCAAACTTTCGAAAAATTTTAAAAATATTGAGAATTTTTATTAAACTAGAGTGGTTTCTCAAAATCTTTTGTTTTTAAGTTTAGCGAAGAGCATTAAGAGCATATTTAGCGAAGAGCATATTAGTTGGTCGCCAGCATAGTTAAGTCCTAGGAACCAAAAGTGACCTCAATATTAAATTTCCGGATTCAAGCAAAGGTAAATTTACAATTAAGTACTATTTAGTACTTTTCTACCAATCATGGTGCGCATTCCCAAATCCAGCGCCTTCCTATCAAATTTCAAAAATTCCGCTCAATTATATCCCAAATTTGTAACCATACGTTACATTCTGTTTACCGATACCAAATTTCAGAATTCCATCTCTATCCCAAAACACAAGGGCACATTTTGTGGCATTTTGCCCTTCATAGTGCGAATTTTCTAAACCACCTCCTTCTCTCAACTACAGATGCCAACAGTTGCATTCACATCAAATTTCAACACAGTCTCCATATCTCAACCTCAGATACCAACAGTGACCGTAATATCCAATTTCAGGATTTCAGTTCTGTAATTTCTTCCTTTACCAAATTTTGTACCATTTAGTACAATTATAGTACGCATTTCCAAAACCACCTCCATACCTGAATCCCAGTTACCAACAGAACATTAGTTCCAAATTAAGTACCACTTAGTACTTTTCGAACAATTACGGTACACATTTCCAATACCAATATCATAATCAAAGAACCTACTGTGACATCTATATCTAATGTCTGGATTTCAGCTCTATTTCTTCACCCAATACCAATTTGAGTACGTTTCGTACAAATATAGTACCCATTTGCGAAAACACCACCATATCTCAATTCCAGATACCAAAAGAGACTTCAATATCAAATTTCGGGATTCCAGCTCTATCCCTTCACCGAATACCAAATTAAGTACCATTTAGTACTTTTCGAACAATTCTGGTACAACAGTGCCATCAGTAATCAAAATATCAAATTTCAGAAGTTTTCCATAGCCCAATACCAAATTTAGTACTTTTCTTACAATTGTAGAACTCATTTCTAAAATCGCCACCGTATCTCAATTCTAGATACCAACAGAGACATCTATATCAATCTTGAGGATTCCAACCATATCCCCTCACCCAATACCAAATTTAGTGCTATTTAGTACTTTTCTTACAATTATAGTACTCAACGGAGACTTCTATATTAAATTTCAGGATTTCAGCTATAGTCCCTCACCCAACACAAAATATAGTACTATTTAGTACTTTTCTTACAATTATAGTACTCATTTCCAAAATCGCCTCCGTATCTCAATTCTAGATATCAACAGAGACATCTATATCAATCTTGAGGATTCCAACCAATTCACCTCACCTAATACCAAATTTAGTACCATTTAGTACTTTTTGTAAAATTATAGGACGCATTTCCAAACCACCGCCAGTTCTTAAATCCAGATGCCACCAGTTTCTAAATGTCAAATTTTAGAATTGTATCTCTCTCTCTCTTCGCCCAATACCAAAATTAGTACTATTTAGTACTTTTCGAACAATTATGGTACACATTTCTAAAATCACCCCCATATCTCAAGAGGACTCCAGCGCTATTCACTCAATACAAAATTTAGTACCATTTTGTACTTTTTGTACAAATATCAACCTCAGATGCCAACAGTAATCTAAATATCAAATTTCGGATTTTCAGATCTATTCCTTTGCCCAATACCAAATTTAGTACTATTTAGTACTTGTCGAACAATTATGGTACACATTTCCAAAACCACCTCCATATGTCCTGGCTATACATGAACAACGACCGTAATATCAAATTTCAGATTTCAAGCACTATCTGTTCACCCTTTACCAAATTGTACCAAGTATAGTACTATTTACTACTTTTCGTGCACTTGTAGTACACATTTCCAAAACCACCTCTTTATCACAAACCTACCTCCAACAGGAACACCAATAACAATTTTCAAAATTTCAGCTACATCCGTTTACGCTAAATTAAACTGTTCCAAATTTAGTACCATTTAGTACAGTTTGCACACTTAATACGCATTTCCAAAATCAAATCCCATATCTCAATTCAATTTGCCAATCCAGCTCCAAATATCAGCATCAGACGCCATCAGTAAAATAAATTTCGGTATTCCCTTCACCCAATTGCACTTTTCGTACAATTATGGTTCGGAAACCACCTCCATATGTCCATTCAGCACATAAACAGCGATATTACACAATTTCAGATTTGTAGCACTATCTGTTCACCCAATACCAGTACTATTTAGTTCTTTTCGCACACTCGTGGTGCACATTTCCAAAACCACCTTTTTATTATAAACCCCAATACAAAATTTAAAAATTCCAGCTTCATCCGTTTACTCCAAACCAAACTGTTCCAAATTTAGTACAGTTCATACTCATTATACACTTCCAAATCCACCTTCATATATCAAACTTCCTTTCCAACCTTGATTCTCATACCAACGATTTTAACTCTATCCGTTCACATAATACCATATGGTACTTTTTTAGAAGTTAAGTACCATTTTAGGACTTTTCGTAAGCTTAAAGTTTGAATTTGCAACAAGCCTTCGGTACATCTATCCTACACTCCGTCAGTGACTCTCATTCTAAATTTCAGAAGTGTAGCTTATTCCGTTTGTCCAATACAAAGTATTTGATGTTAAGTACATTTTAGTACTTTTCGTGCCATTTTAGTAGGAATTTCTAAAAATCCAGGCCTATCATACGTCTGCGAACCAAGACCGAACCTCATGCCTTTTCTTTTGGGCGTAGATTCTATATCAGTCATTTAGCTCCAAACCAAAATGGTTCAACATAGATCTTCGCTTTGTTATAGTACTATCTGAATATTCCTCTCTCAAAAATTTTTGTAAATCCAGTTTTCGTTATTTTCGATTTATGTAGACTTTTTTGGAATGGTCTTGCGATTGTTGAATGAGTTCTACTTATATCAGTAGGCCACTTCTCAACGGATCTTCTGTCTATACAACGATTGAGGCTCCAATTAACCAAAAAACTCTCAACTTTGTTCTTAAAACGTTATTTTATTTTTTGAAGGCCTTGAACTTTAAACTTCTCTAGGCATTTAATGTAGTAAAGGGTACATTTGACAATTCTTCGTTAAGATACCTGCGCCTCTCCCCTAAAAAATATACACTCTTAAGTAATTTTTTTTATAGAAAACTTCTTAAAATTAATAGTTCTTTGCATCTATTTTTTGAATTTATTGTATGTGACATAATTTCCTCATAACAATAAACAATTAATCTAATTTCAATCTCTACGACGACAACACAAGTTTCATTAATATTCCCCAGATGAGGCTGGTGTGAAAACTTCTTTGTCAACATAAAAAACCCTACATTATTAATTAATATTTTTTTTTTCTATTTTTTTAGTTCTGAGAATAACGGCAAAACCACAACGTCACACACACACTCACATATTTCCATCGTCTAAAACAATATGACCGACCAAAACATGACTTGTAAATTGAATTAGCAATCACACGTTAATATAATTAAAAATTCAAACAACATCAAAGCTTCTAACTAAAGACGAACAAACGCTTCGTCTCAGAAGACGACAAGAATTTCATGCCGACAACGCAAAACCAAGTCATAATCATAAATTGTGTCACATCAAATCTGGGTTAACAAAAATTTTGAATATTCTTCATGGCGAAGAACGAGATGTTTATAATTGTTATTGTTCTATTATTTTTTGTGTTTTATGGCATAGTAAGGTATTATTGTAAGGGGAGGTGCATTACATGTATGGAGCAATGAAGAGTATCTTTGGAAAACATGTATGACATACTAAGCGAACTTTCAGTACGTCTTATGTAGTATTGCTAGGATATGCCATCAGAAAATCATTCTTGAAAGATCTATGCAATTCTAAAAATATTAAGCCTTTAAAGTTATTTCTGTAAAATTTGCAAGATGAGTATCGGCGGATTATGAAAGAGGGGCTTTCGACGTTTTGAAAGTTTACATCGCAAAGTAATCTACATCGAAAAGGCAATTTCTCCCCTCTTCCACATTTTTATATTCTACGCCACATAGTGGTAAGGGTATTATGCCTTTGTGCATAATGGAGAAGGCGGCGAGATAGACCCATAGTTACTTTTGAGGATCTTCATAGAATAACTTTCTGAGTCGATTTATGCATGTCAGTCGTACGTCTGTTCATGTATTTTTATGAACAAAATGCAGGTCGCATTTATTATCCGATTGAGATGAAATTTTCCAATCAATGACGAACCGTATTGAAACTGGTGAGAATCGGTCCAAAATTTGGTATAGCTCCCATATATATTTTCAACCGATTTCGTGTTAATTATGCACCAAACGGCCAATATCAGTTCAAATGACCTGAATTTGGCACATCCGACCGAATTCAGTTTAGAAGCAAGTACATAAAATTTGGAGAAAATCGGTTCTGATATAGCTGCAGCTCTCATATATATGGTTCAACCGATTTGGGGGAGAGACAGATGGGCCTAAT